AGTTGGGTCTGGGTTTTAATAATTAGCATCTAGATTCTAGAGTATTTTAAAGTCATAGCGTAAACGAATTTTAAGAACGAACGTAACCCTCATCAGAAATCGAAGTCGAAGCGAAAGCGACATTTAATTTTACTGCGTACTGCCATAAACGAACTCTTCTAATTGCAAAACACACAAAACTGAAATATACTTACCATATAAATACGAGTATATCTAGATATATACATATAGCATTTAAAATTATATAAAAATTAAAGGAACATTTTACATATACATACATATATGGGGATATATATTTAGTTTTTAGAACTTCTTGTACTCACAGCAACACTAATTCCTGGAAGTCGACTTAATTTTGATCTATGTCTACCCAAATTCTGCTCTCTAACGGATGTCGACTTCGCCAGAAATCTCCTTGAGCTGCAGCGGAACTTTGCACTTGAGATGACAACCCTCCAGGGTCTACGGACCTCTCAATCCGGTTTCAATTTACAGTTTTTTCGCAGCACTCTGATTGTCAGGAGAGCGTTGAAGTGGAGGATATTCCGAGAGCTGAACAAGTGTCGAGTCCCAAGGGAACTGTCTCTCTTTGTGGTATTTTCCTTTCCACTAAGGCTGAGCTGTAGGACACACCCAAAGATGGAAGACAAGATTAGGTGCCTGGAATGAGTATTCTGAAGTGTCTGCTCTCTCTATGTCCTGCAGAAGATGAGTTAAGTGATCGATAAAGTTCTCTTTCTGCCGATAGGGATTATAGTCTGTGCATTTATTATTTCGTTCTGGCGATTCTATGAGTTTGCCAGCCCAAAATAGATTCGTTCCAATGATCTGCGGGTTAACTTGAGACACTTTCTTTGGACCGCTGTGCAACAATATCTGCGGTGCGTGAGCAGATTGCCATCACAGGCAAATTATGTGATGTTCTGTAACAAATCTGTCACAGCTTGACGCCGCTGTTGATGCTTGCCGACTCGGCGTTCACTCACAACGCCACCAACTTGCTCACACCCTTTCGCCTGGGCATCCACATCCACTGCCAGGGGTCAGTACGGCAGAGAGATGCGGGCAAACCACAAAATGGTCAGAGATGGCGATAACATCAATTGGTCTTGATGGCGGTGCCTTTTGTATGATTCTCCCGCAGTACTTAATGCCACAATATGCTCTACCCTCACCACTGGCTCTATCTAGATTATGTATGTATGACTGTGGCTCTGGCAGCTTTACTATAGATGTACTTTGGGATAGTTCAGATCCTTCTCTTCATAAAGCAATGGCATGGTTTGATCAGAGAACAAACGGTATATCAAGCCCAATCCCCATCCAAAGATGATTTTCCTAAGGACTTATGGATATTTGTCACCTAACAAGCTGCTCATCTCCCAGATCCTTACTGTTGGCCTCGTTCTGGAGGACATGCAGGCCTTTTCATGGCTTGGCTTAAAGGGTAGAAGAAACGAGGGGGAACGTTGTGAGTTGCTGCGGACACCGCAACTCTACGGTTATACCCGATACTAAGTCAGTATGGCTCTCCTCCGGCAGACGCCGCTAATATTTAACGACACGACAAAGAGTGCGTGCGAGAGAGACAGAAAATCAGTCTGAGCGTGACGTCGGGCGCTGCGTAGCCACTGCAAATTGATTTGTTCCTTTTGGCTATAAAAATGATCTGATCTGATCCAGATTCAGCAATCTAATAGATATGGTCATTATCTATGATTCTGCGTTTTTAGTTTTCTCAAATCTGCAATATTGTGGATGCAACAGATTTTCGTCCTTTGTGGGGGCGGATGGGGGTGGGGCGAAATTCTGAGATATACGTTTTATAGTGACATCTTAAAGGAGTGTGTGCACCAAATTTGGTTACTCTAGCCTTAATAGTCTCTGAGATTTGTGGTTGCCTCAGATTTTCGTCCTTTGCGGGGGCGGAAGGGGGTGTGGCGAAATTTGGACAGGAAACGGTCAAGGTCCGATATCACAGGAGTGTGGATACCAAATTTGGTTGCTCTGGCTTTTATAGGTTCTGAGATCCTTGAACTCATATTTTGCAATTGGCAAAACCGACCATGAAACCTGTGTGTTAGAGTGAGACAGAGCGAGAAAGAGTGAAATTGTTTTCGTGATTCTGGCTGTAATAATTATACGATCTGGTTCAGATTTTGCACTCTAGAAGATATAGTCATCTTCTACGATTCTGCGTTTTTTGTTTTCTCGTATCTTTAAAATTGTGGATGCCACAGATTTTCGCCCTTTGTGGGGGCGGAAGTGGGCGGGGCAAAGTTTTGAAATATTTTTGTAGCAGTGACATATCACAGAAGTCTGGATCCAAAACATCGTTGCTCTAGCTCTTATAGTCTTTGAGCATTAGGCGCTGAAGGGGACGGACAGACGGACAGACGGACAGACGGACAGACGGACGGACGGACAGACGGACAGACGGACAGACGGACAGACAGACATGGCTCAATCGACTCGGCTATTGATGCTGATCAAGAATATATATACTTTATGGGGTCGGAAACGATTCCTTCTGGACGTTACACACATCCACTTTTACCACAAATCTAATATACCCCAATACTCATTTTGAGTATCGGGTATAAAAATACACATATATATCCCAAAGGATGAAATTTCCCATTCCTAACAGCAACATTACAGAATTTGACCATGTTTTCTTTAATCAGGTGCAATAAAGTTCTTAAGTCGAAGAACCTAGCCAACAAATGGAGGAACATGCAACATTTATGTCAGCCATCTGCAGATGTTCAAGTGATAGATACACGTATCTTGATTCTGATATCCGTAGGCAAGACGAGTAGCTATACAGATGGAATCTTCTGGGCTGGCCCAAGCCTCAAGTTTGCTGCGTGGGCCTCCCCTCTCTAGTCATCTGCCCACAGCCAGCCCTGGCCCAGCCCTGCCGCAGTTGCGTCTGCGTGTTGCACCTTTTCCGCAGTTGCCGCTGTTGCCTCTACCTGTGTTGCTCTGCGACCGCTTTAATGATGATCATAGTAAGCAAAACGCAACGCAAAAAACAGAGAAGATGACGAAGGAGATGCAGCCGAAAACCAATCGATTATTATATGTGCCGCACTATATTTCAGTCGGAGGCAGTGGCAGTGTGGCTGAAACGAGGGATTGAGCCAGAGTTCCAGCGAAGAGATTATTTTTATTTGCCCTGCCAGATAGCCAGACACGTCGAAAGAGTGATAGAGGGCGATTGGCCCTTTTGGGCCAAACCGGTCGGACAGGTAGCGCTGGAAAAGTTGTACGCACGCCTTGCCCTTCTTGGTCTTCGTCTGCGGCATCCTCCTGCTCCTCGCCAGGATAATGACTGTACGAGCACGGAATCCGGGTAGAGGTTGGCATCAGCATGGGCCTAGGAGTGCTATTCCTTTTACCGTTCCCTCTTCAGTCAGGATGCTGGTGCGTGTCGTCTCTTTCTTTCTCTCTGCATGTGCGTGCGGGGGTGCGGGTGCAGGTAGCGACACAGATTTCTACAACGCCCCTACCCCTACTCTTATCACAACCCTCCTGGTTGTCCTAGTCCTCGTCTTAGTCCCTTTTTTTAGAAGGCAAAGAAGACGATGTCGACTCTGGTGGCGGCGTTTTCCTTTTTTAGGTCCCAGAAAATGTTCGTCTCTGTGTGTTTGTGTGCGAGAGGGAATGTGCATCGCTTTCCTAGTATCAATAACAATGCATTCCCGCTATTGTTGTTCCATCCGCTGGATTTTGTGCATCATCCCAAATCCCAAACGGCGAAGGCCTGCCCCTGCTTACGCTTGTGCCTGTATATGTGCTGTGTGCGGCAACATTTTTTGGAGTTATCGTTAATATTTTCTTGGAAACCGGGATTGTATTGTTGCGCTCGCAGGTAGCGAACAGCGATCGCACACACAGATACACACAGCCACACACAAATACTGAGGCAGCTAAAGAGGCAAGACAGGTACCTGCTCGACTTCGGAATGCAACAGCGGCAGAAACAAATGCGTCGGAGTTTGGCATTGAGAGACGTAAGCTTTGTGCTCTGTAGAAGAACCTGAACACAATCTGAGGACCAGACCCGACCCGACCATAGAGTCAGACCTGGGCCAAAATCAAGATGAATCCAAGCCAGGTCTAGCATTCAGCTCGGTCTCTCCCTCTCTTTCAATCTTGGAATCTATCTCTCTAGCCTGAGAGAGCCACTAGTACAGATGCAGATGGAGAGACTCTCGCTCTCAAACGCTAGCCTTTTTCAGTGCTGACAAAATTGGCAAGCCATAAAATATAGATTTTTTTCTCGTTGAGCAATACGTCCATTAAGAATTTTATAAAATTGATGTACTCTATGTATTTTTAACTGTATTTTAAGTGGTTATCACATAACATTTGCTAACTCATGTTATTTTATTTTTTTTAATTATGGTAAAAATTAAGCATTAGCTCAAGCTTTTTAATATAAATGGCTGTATTTTATTTTTTGTTATATGTTGTCAGATTTTACTGAACTTTTCTAATTTTTCAAACTTGTTCTATGGTCCTATCTAAATAATTATGATGTCAAGGTTTCTCATCTTTTATTTCCTTTATGCTGTTCAAGATGAACATTTTCGCTGCTATTGGAATCAGTTGATTGGCAGAACTAAGTTGAAATTGCTCTAAAATATGTATTATGAACATGTTTGAAGAAACATAGCATATGATGATATCCCACATCAATCTTATTGAATCCCTTATGTACAAAGTTGCCACAAAATCTAGCCGAAAACAAGCCAAATATCACAAAAACCTCCATGCCTCTCAATTCAGCTTCAGACCGAGAGACTGAGAGAGAGAGAGCGCACTGCTCTACCTGCTTTGAGCACAGTCAGCCATTGCTGAATTCGACTGCCTGTTCACACAGATACTCGACTCGCACACACACACGCGAACACAGGGGATTCTATCTCTCTGTCGTTTTACTATAAGCAACGCTGCTGCGGCCAAAGCGAGCGTAGTTTTTCTCTCAACGTCGTCCGGTTCGGTTGCGCGCGTCTTGGATCTCTCGAACACTAACGACATTTGGATTTACCCACCATCCAAGCCAAGCCAAAGGCCCCCCAAGTGCTACAGTCAGAGTGCAAGAGTCGCAAGCCAGAGTGCAACACGAGTGAATCAGTATCAGTATAAACAGAACCAGAATAATCTCGCGGACATCCCAGTTCTAGTCCCAGTGCAACCTAAGAACATCTTTCGTACCATTTCCCCCTTGAAACTGCCGCGTACCGAGTAAAATGCGACGTATATAAGACGCATCTACGTAGTGAACCCGTCATAATAGAACCTTCTATACAGCCACAAAGCAAAGAGTCTCCTGCAGACAGAGTAATCAGCGAAATAGCTAGAGGAAGAGAAAGAGGTAGCAGCAGGACGCCGAGGAGCATGGCCACCAACACAGAGCTTCTGCCCTTCCACCATCAGACGACCATTTCCCTGCAGACGGCGGCCGCTCTTACCAACTATCATGGCGGCGGAGGCAGCACAGCCGCAGCGAGTGGAGCCGCTCCCAGTGGAGCTAATGGCGCCCCCGTGTGGGGCATGGACGAACTCTACCCACAGACTGAGCTACCCGGCCTCACACGCAGCGCCCACCACCTGCTGCGCTTCACGCCCTACGCATTGCACCACCGCCCGCAGCTGCAGACCCTTCCACCGGCGCTATACCTGCAACATGCGGCCGCGGCTGCAGCCGCTGCTGCAGCGGCAGCAGCCCATGCGCAGCACCACCATCACCATCATCACCACCACCAGCACAGACCCGCCTCGCCGGAGAGCCCACCCCCAGTGGAGGGCACGCACATCAGCAACCTCTTCCCGGAGTTGCTCGAGCAGATCTTCGAGCACCTGCCTGTGAGGGATCTGGGCCGTGCGGCCCAAGTGTGCAGCGCCTGGCGGGACGCAGCCTATGCCAAGAGCGTGTGGAAGGGGGTTGAGGCCAAGCTGCACCTGAAGCGCTCCAGCCCCAGCCTCTTCAACTGTCTGGTGAGGCGTGGAATCAAGAAGGTGCAGATCCTATCCCTGCGCCGCGCGCTCAAGGATCTGGTGCTCGGTGTGCCGGCCCTGACATCGCTGAACCTCAGCGGATGCTTCAATGTGGCGGACATGAACCTGGGACACGCCTTCAGCGTCGACCTGCCCAACCTAAAGACGCTGGACCTATCGCTCTGCAAACAGATCACGGACACGAGTCTCGGACGGATCGCACAGCACCTGCGCAACCTGGAGAATCTGGAGCTGGGCGGCTGCTGCAACATCACCAACACCGGCCTCCTGCTGATCGCGTGGGGCCTGAAGAAGTTACGCCACCTCAACCTGCGCTCCTGCTGGCACATCAGTGACCAGGGCATTGGTCACCTGGCCGGTTTCAGCCGCGAGACGGCCGAAGGCAACCTCCAGCTGGAGCACCTTGGACTGCAGGACTGTCAGCGGCTAAGCGACGAGGCGCTAGGGCACATCGCCCAGGGCCTCACCTCCCTGAAGTCCATCAACCTGAGCTTCTGCGTCTCCGTGACGGACAGCGGATTGAAGCATCTGGCGCGCATGCCCAAGCTGGAGCAGCTGAATCTACGCTCCTGCGACAACATCTCGGACATTGGGATGGCCTACCTCACAGAGGGTGGCAGCGGCATCAACTCCCTGGACGTGAGCTTCTGCGACAAGATCAGCGATCAGGCTCTGACGCACATCGCCCAGGGTCTCTACCGCCTGCGCTCCCTCTCCCTCAACCAGTGTCAGATTACGGACCAGGGCATGGTGAAGATCGCCAAGTCGCTGCAGGAGTTGGAGAACCTTAACATCGGCCAGTGCAGCCGCATCACCGACAAGGGCCTGCAGACTCTCGCCGAGGATCTCACCAACCTCAAGACCATCGATCTCTACGGCTGCACGCAGCTGAGCTCCAAGGGCATCGACATCATCATGAAGCTGCCTAAGCTGCAGAAGCTCAACCTGGGCCTGTGGCTGGTCAGATGATGCGTCCACCACGACTGCAATGCCTGTGCGGAGGCGGAGGCAGCAGAAGCGGCAGCATCGGCGCTCAAGAGGAAGAGCTCCACCACTAATAGCAATCCCAACACGAGTTCCAATACCAATGCTGGTCTGGGCTAGACTTCTGGCGGAGGAGAGACACTTGGAGTGGCCCTGAAGTGTGCGTGTGACTTTCAATCCTACCTACCGATAGCGGATTGCCGCTTGCCGATTGCCCATGCCCATGCCCATTGCCCGTGTGTCCAGTCCAGTGTCGAGAAGTTGCATGTCGTCTGGCTGTGGCACGTAATTATATAGGGAGAGGGGAATGGTAAGGGCTGGCAGGGCGGGAAGTCAACTTCGGGGCAGACAAGATACACTGAAAACTCATAGCTTTCGTTTGCCATACCACACGCTGTACTAAATTTTTTCGTACGAATCGAGTAGAAACGGAGAGCCGATGGGGAGAGGTGGAGTGTCAGAAAGAGACGTAGAAACAGGCGGAGGCAGAAACAACAACAAAGAGCAAACAATGAAACATACACACAGACACACTAACACTGAGACACAGCAAGAGCGAAAGAGTGGGAGAGTGAGGTGGAGCGACGGCGGCGTCATGGAGCTTGCTCTGTGTGTTGTGCCGCTGGTTCCTAAGGGGGGGAGAGCGGTGGGACGAGGCCCCCACTGGCGTCGGCTTACACGCACGCAGCGATAAAAAAGGAAAAAAACAGAAACGAGAGAAAAAAGAAACAACAGCAAAAGCAGCAACAACAACAACTGCAGCTATGGCCGCCAGCAACAAAGTGCATGGCGATGGAGACGCGCGATAAGCGTCATGAGAGACCAGCAGAGCCGGAGCAGCGCGAGTAAGAGTGAGAGGGAGGGAGAGGGAGAGTGCGATGGAGTGGGCAGCGCAGCACATTATAACATACACACACACACAAACACGCACGCAGTATAGAGAGACATGCATATGTATGTGCAATGCAGGCCGCCGTTAAACAGATGCAAATAAATTTAAATAGTTTATTTTAATTCACGCTTCGGCTACAAAAGCCAGCGTCCTCCATTGCCACAGCGACAGCAGCAGCAGCAACTGCAACAACAACATGAAGAATGTTCGGCAACGGCAGCTGCCTTGACTGTGTGTGTATGGTATGTGTGTGGAATGAAGTGTAGGGAGAAGAGAGGTAGGAAGGCAGCTTTAAGCTTTCTGAGACGGGGCTCAACCAAGGTATAATCTGTATAAGGTGGGGCATACCCAGAGCTCAAAGGATGATAGTTTCATGCATGATGGTTTCATGTATCAGAGGTTCATTAAATCGCAGGTTAAACAGTTGGACACTCTCTCTCTCTGACTTCTTAATATAGGCACTTATGTGACTTCGGGAATACCTCACCTGGAATGACTAATATACTTTGGGTGCAACTTTGACTTCGTTCACTACCGCTGCTCCACCACCCCAGCATTTGCTCTTTGTTGCTGTGTCTCTATAGCTTTTATCATCCTCGCTCTCACTGCTCTGCTCCCCGTTTCACCTTATATTGTTTGTGTTCTCTTTTTGTTCTGTTTCTTCTTTGTTCCTCCCGTCAGCTCCTTCTGCGCTTCGTTTGCGAATTCGCTTTAGTACAGCGTCCGTTAGTTATGCCGTTTAATTTAGTTGATTACAAATTAAAGAAAACACGAAAATCTAAGCAAAAAAACATGTTAATAGTAGAACTTAAAGAAAATGCGTAAATTTAATTTCTAGTTTTTAGTTTTATCATTCGTAAAGCCACAATTAGTCAAATACGAAAATGAAGAGGAAAACATAGCGAAAAACTCACCAACACACACACACACACAAACGTTAAAGAAAATTCTGTACATTTTTTATTGTTTAATTTATAAGTAAGCAAAAAAAAGCGAAGGAAACCCGAAAAAAGAGCGCGATAACGATTGAAAAGAATATACGAATTAATTCTTTTTTCTATTGTGATATAAAATGTATTGTATAAAAAAACACAAGCAAACAAAATTAAACAAAAATGCTAAAACAAGAATTACGTAATTTTATTTAAGCAGAAACAAGGGACAAAACCTTCCAAACAAACAAAAAATATAAAGAATAAATTAAACTAAATTAAATAAAAAACTAAATAAATATTGTAATTCCAATGTTATGTTAAGTACTGGAGTCCCGATTCGAAGAACTTTTGTTGAGCCGCAATATACCGAATGCCTTAATTCTTTTTGCAAAACTATTATTATTAACTATGTTGATTCTTGAGATCCTTGATTTTTGATTACATTACCCGTTTACCCCTAGCCCTAAGATCTCCATTGATTGATTGATTGATTTATTGATTGATATTTCTGTTGTGTCACGTTGACGGAGAAGCCCCCAGAAAGGAGACGACGAACGGATCATGCGGAAGGAGGAGAAAATAAATTAAATATGTATAAAAAACCAAGCAAATCGTATGTGTTTTCAACGATTCTGGGTGATGGGATGGGATGGTTGGATGGGTCGAGAATGGCAGTTGTTTATCTTATCCAACAAATGCGTAAATATTTTGCTGGCAATTCATTTTATTCCATGTCCCGGACACGAGTGTGCGTGTCTGCTGCATTTTGTAATGAACAAAGGGCAACACTAATGCAATTCCAATGAAATGTGCAGCCAGCCAGAGATGCAGATGCCGATATATGTAGTATGTATGTATGTACATATGTGGTCATACATATGTGTGTATGTATGTATATACTTATGCATGTACTGCATATGCGGTTATGCAAGGGACACACACACACACACGGACTCCTCTTATGTATTGCAATTATTTATATTCCCTGCATTATGTATGTGCAAGCAGCGATGCATTTACAAACACATACTACATGCACTCGAACACGCATGTTCGTAGGCCTGTGTGGCACATAACGGTTTTACTTGCTTGCTAACTGCTTAAATTTGCATTAAATGTGCGTATGCGTCAATTGTGCGTGTGCGTGAGTCTTTGTCTGTGTGTTTGATTAACATTTATACATATACATATGTATTTATGTATATGTATATATGTACTTAAACGTATATAAACGTATGTATGTGTATGTGGAGGCCATCCAATTGGGAATTTTCACCGCCTGGAATCAGCGGTGCCCACTCTTAAAGCTTTAAACGGGGATTAGAGCCCGAAACAGAACTCAGATTGATAGATTAGCGCTTAGACCTGATTTCGTGGTCACAGACAGAACTATGCGGTAAATCTAAAACACATAGGAAAAGATTAAGTATAAAGAGATTATGTATAAACTTTATACATGCGTACATAAATAAATATGATATATGTATGAATGGCAGATTGTCCAGACTTTGTTACTAAATTATAGCAGAATTGTTGCACTCAAAGATGCACCAATCCAGAGCGACATCAGATGTGGTAGTTCCCTGTAATCGAACTTCACAGAAGTTTTATGCTATTTTTCCACTGAAAAAATTCTTTGTTCAGTCACAGCTGCATTTCTGATGAATTGTTACATTATAGCTTATGCGTTTTTAATACGAGCGAAATACCCTCGCTCAGAGAACACAGCGAAGCTCATCTTGGAACGGAACGGAAATTCCGCCTCAAAGTCGGGTATTTCTAATGCTATAACTTGGATTGAAAGGCCCGCTTAAGTTCGTTTTAGTTAAAATTCAACACACAAAACCTGACTCAAGCTCTTTCTCTCTCTTTCTGTCTTTCTCTGGCTGAGGCCTGAATCGGTGTGGTCTCTGTTTCTCTGCCTCTGCGTCTATTTCTGCATGTGCCCCAACTGCGACGACTGGAGCTAAAACTGGGAGTGCGCTCGTGTGCCGGGCAAAATGTTGTTTAACCAACATTTGCATTCTATGAATTTTGAATTTTCTGAAACGCAGGCGTAAGATATCGTCGAGGCGAGTCACGAGCGTGGGGACAACAACAGCGGGGCAACGTCGCTGGCTCGGCGGCTCCAAGGGTCGGTGCTGGTTTGGTTCGGAGGTCCAGGCCCTGATGTCAGACTTGGGCTATTGCTTATCTTATCAGTCGACGTGGGCAAACAAAGCAAGCCACCCACCACTACCACAACCACCCACCGAACGGGGCAGGGACCAGGCCTTACGACTTATCGGTCATATTGGGGGGTACTTTGGCTCTGATATGCAGTGGAGCTGCAACTGCATTTGCTGTGGAGGGCCCCATTTCGGGGGGTCTCATTAGCATGGCAACGGCCATGGCAGGGAAAGCTGCTGGGGGGATCCTGGACCAGGGCCCAGAGATTCAGAATCTAACTCCCATTTATCAGCATTTTCCACGCACTCCTCGGCACGAGACGAATTCCAAAATCGATTCGAACTCTGCCGCTGCCGCTGCCCGTGCTAGCCCCTGCTGCCGCGTACACTCTTTGACGTTCCAACGGGCTCGTAATGTCGCACAGGGAGTCGAGACGCAGCAGTCGTCTGGCATCCAAATGTGTTCCTTTTACCGTACTCACACACACACACACACACACACACACACACACACACACACAGATACTAGCACAAGCACACATCCATACACTGGCATACACTTCTCGGGGAGAGAGAGACCGTCGAGCAACCCTTCGCACGGTGGTACGGTTCCATTTCGATTCGTTCGGTTCGGTCTAGCACTTTGAGTTTGAACCCCCGTTTTTTCAAAGGACTAACTTCAAATGCCGAAAATAAATGCCCCCACCCCCTCCTTCGTACAGCGCTCCCCTGGCACGGAGCGCTAAGGGAAATGCATTCAACATACATATATAAAAAAGAAGGAACGAAGAAATTTTAATCCACAACGGACCCGTATATGTGTGCCTTATGGGTACCCTTGTCTCTGGGTGTGTGTGTGTGGGAAAATATGTGCTAGAGTATGTGTGTCATGGATACACATTTCGTGAATGCCGCCCAAGGTGACCAAGGATGGAGAAAGCACCACCACTAAAATCACCAAGGAGCGGCTATCACAGCCGCTGTCGTCTCTGCAGTCTCTGCAGCTACCTGCCCCTGCGATTCGAGACGGGGCGGATGTTGCACGCCGAGGACGATCGGGCGTGGAATGTGGAAACAGGTGTCCTTAAACCAACAAAACAGAAGGGAAATCCGGAATATGAAGACAGCTCAGCCTGAGATTTTCGCACATAAATCAGCATTCAGATACATACTATATGTGATAGTGTTCCGAACGCAGCTTGAAAAGATTTATAAATGTTCAAGAAGAAAGTCGGAAGCAATAAAATATATTCGCATATAAATCAGAGTCCCAGAGAGCTGATCCAGAAGTTTCAGTCTCTGATTTGTTATCCACAATTTCAGAATGCAAAACGTATTCAAAATAAATACTATATTCAGAATCGGACAAAGATTTTGGAAAGAAAGTTGGTCTTAGATATTTTAAAGTTCTGAAAATCAGCATATCCATTAGGTTGATCGAGAAGTTGCAATCTCAGCTTATGAGTATCGTCAGAATATAGCCTCAGTACGATCGAGACTTCAGAAAAATGTCATATATGTACATACATATGTATGTAGATCCGAAACTTGTTCTACCTTCTGTGGAGTCAAAGGGAAATCGCTGAAGCTATCGCTGCCAGTGGAATGTGAGCGAAACAACATCAAGAGGAACGACAGCGGGGAATGTGAAACAAGCGCTGAGATACAGATACAAAACACTTATTTTTAATTTCGATGAATCACCGTTGGTTTGGTTTTGGCTTTTGGTTTCTGTTTGGGGTTCGGTTCGGTGCGGATCGGTTGGGGCTGAAACGAAATTCAGCGACGTCGCCGATGACTGCATGCCTCGTTGGAGCCGGGCGACGATAGACAAAAGGGGTACACAGGGTGCGGGTGCGGGTGCGGAGGAGAGCAAGGCTGGCAGAGCAGAGCACAGAACACGGGACAAAGGCGCACAGAGAGAGAGTGGGAGAGAGATACGGATAAGAGGGAGATGGAGACAGGAGAAGTAGAGGAGAAAACGCGATGAAAAACAAACTGAAAGAATGCACAAAGAGCAGACGACGATCGGCATTGGAAACGAAACGTAACGAAAAGCGTTGAAAATGCTGGTCGAATATGTCGCCGATCGAGAACTAGAGCTCCCCCTTTCCGATCTGTATCTGTAATACAGATTCTGTATCTGGAGCCACTGACATTCCAGGGGTCCTATTTCCAGATAGCGGGTAATCGTATCCGTATCCGTCTCCGTTTTTAGCTGGTTTCAGGCAATCACAGGCGACACAACTTTGTCTGGGAATGTTGAGTATCAGCCGCCGCCCAATCGGTGGAAATTCGACACGCCTTGAAAGCCAAGTAAAATTCTAAGCAATCCCGATCCTCCCCCTTCTTTGAACCCTCTAGCCATATCACGCGGTCTAGACATGTGCCAGAGATCTAATGTTTGGTCTGCATGCGGGAGTTGGATGAGGATGAGGATGAAGCTTAAGGAAACGTAAACTTTTCAGCTCTCTCCCTTGCAGCATCAGCATCCTTTTGTTCGCAGCGAAGCAGAAGAAAGAGAAGCGGAAGTGCTTTGTCGCCATTTGATGTGACAACGACTTCCTGCTCGGGCCTGACCTGAGACCGGGCACCGACAAGTCTTGGCTTAGAGTTGGAGTTGGACTTGGCGAAAATATTGATTATTTAAGATGGCGTGCCATATGGACGATGTGGAGGTGCACCACAACGGGGTTGGATCTGGGGTTAGTCGACCAACAACGGTGCACATCAAAGGCTTCGGTTCGTCAAAGTTCTTTTAGTACGTGGCTTTTTCTGTTTTTTTTTTTTTTTTTGCTTTTTCTGCTTTTGTTGGTGCTGTCGTCATTTGCATTTTGGCGGGTTCCCAGTGCCACGGATGAGAATCGAGCGAAGGTCTCTCGCAAAATTGATTGTGCGGCAACCTGGGAAAGACCTTTGCATATGCATGTCAAGAGTTGTCCAGCTCTGGCCATTGTTGTTGTTGTTGTTGTTGTTCTTGCTGCAAGTTGTTGCTGCTGTTGCATGTTGCCGTTTCTCTGGCTGTGTGCCTGCGCTTGTGCTTGGCCTGTTGCTTGGCTCTGGTGGAAGCCTGGTGGTTTCTGTGTCAGCCACCTGCCTGATCCGCCTTAGGATCTTTGCGACCCGTTTCTGTGCCCCTCTCAGCTCCCCTTGGGGTCTGGGAGCGTTAATTGCAAATGCTGGGGTATCAGCCACGCCCCGAGATGCATATTAAATTGTGTTGCAATAAATGCGAAAAATGCATAAATAAATAAAAGCGCTTGAAACCGCAGGACAGTCCGAGGCTGTCTGCCGCGGTGCGGCATGTCCGCAGCACTTCCGTTTGCCCGCAAAATGGAGCTGGAAATTTTGAATAATATACCATCAAATTTTAAATGCTCTCCCTGCTATGCGAGTCCTCAAAACAAAACTAAAATAGATATTTAAACAGCAATGGAA